CAGATCTACAGCGAGCACAAGAAATGGCTCTGTATCAAAGTATTCTGTGTACAGTGTGCCAAGAAGTCTGTGTGCAACAAAAAAGAGACATTTTTCTTTTTCTGGAAAGATCAAATAGCTCACACTTAAATGCATTTATTGGTCTTTTCCATGTATAAGATTCTCAGGGTCTATTTACCGAGTTATATTCTTCTATCTACTTGCATTTCTCCAGAAAGGGTTCTGCCTGACTGAGCAGGTATGTCGGGTCTGTTCACAACAAGTGAGCTGAAACCAGCAGGAGGAATTCCTGATGAGTATTAGAAAATCAAATACCTAAAATTCAGGTTAGTTAGTGCACATTTAGTTATCGACCATTGTTATTAATTGAAATCCCTGTTTGATTCGGGATCTACCGCATTCATGAAATTAATTGAAATGATTTATATTACCATTGTACATTGTATTTTTTAAACCTCTCTGTTGTTGATTGGAGACCCATCTCGGTGATAAATATCATAAAGGATAAGGTCTTCAGTTTTTTCCAGTTAGTTTAATTGTAACTCTTTCTAAAGCTGTCCTAATGTAGCATTGTATTAAACTCTGCATGTCAGTGTGTTGTGTTACCTCACTGTCACATCCATTATACTTAGAAAGCAAATATAAATGTCAGACTTCAGCTTTTTAAGATGCATGCAGTGTCAGGGCAGGAAGAAGCCAAAAGTGAGAGAGCTGATATTGCATGATTTCTTTGCATGGCTACTCTTCTGGGCACTCTCCCCTGTCAGGATGGAATCCCACTTCAATTGCTCTCACTGTATGTCGACAGCAGAAAAAATCATTTTATAAGCCGGTTTTGCTGACAGCAGAAAATATGGGAAATGTTTGCTCAGGCACATTAGCCGAAGTGCTTGAAAACCTCCCTTGAAGTCCAAGACAGGCACAGGAGGATAGGCATCTACGGCTATCGGCTGTAATTTAATCTTTGACCTTCAAGATATCTGTGTCAGCAAGCTGCATAGCATGTTAGAGACATTTTTTTCTGGCTATGTTTGTTTTTCAGAAATGCCGGCACCTTGTCTTTTTTCCTGTTTTTGCAAAAGCAGTGTGCCTTTGAGTGAAATCAGCTTTGTAGTAGTACTTCAGCACAGTTGTGCTCCAGTAAGGCAACAGGATCCAGCACGCCATTGTGCCAGAGGAGCTCAAGGTCATCTGACCTGTTGGACCCTGTATTGAGATCACTTTGCTGAAACGAATATTTAGTATACCTCTTGGCTTTAATCTTATTTCCATTGTGACGGTCCTTGATGCAAAGGGGACAGTAAGTTAGAGAACAGTTTGTCATATCTCAAATTATGATAGAAATTGAAATAAAAAGCTCCTCTATAAAGAATGTCAATTTCTGTTTTCTTAACGGAAAGCAGTTTTCTATTATGAGGTTGTGTCCCCAGGCTGCTGTTCCCCCATTAGCTTGCTCCTTCAGGAGAGGGTAGCCATCTGAACCACTTGCAGGGATGATGGTCTCCTGGACCTGTCGAGATAGGAGACAAATGAGGATTCTCCTGTTCCTGCCTGGATCACCTTGCCCAGAGCATGAGCGTGGACAGAGCTCACGCTCCTGACATGACATTCCCATTAAGAAATTGATGGGTATTTCAGGATTTAGCACTATTTTTAGAGATCTGGGTTTACTTGCACGTGTATGGGAAAACAAAGGCCAGAGAATGTTTATTTGCATTCCTCGCAGTCGCCGAGTAGTGTATTAATGGATAAAAAAGCAGCAGGCATTTTTTGTTGTCATTCTCACACAGATGGACACAGCCGATTGGGATATTTGTGCTCCCCAGGGTTTTGAAGGGTAATTATTACTTAGCTTCATGCAGTGTTGACAGGTTCTAAAGACGTGGAAGAAAGAAATTCTGAAGGTTAAAGCCTGCTGAGGGGTGTGTGTGTGGGGACGATTTTCAGCAAGTGAAGTATTACCTTTCCTGAAACAGTTCCTTAATGTGTGCAGTGGTGCCTGTTTTAACCCTTGACTCCTCAGCACTGACCAGGCCCCTGTGTTCAGTGCGTCTTGGGGAGCCACCTGTCTCCCCTCTTGTTTCATCTCATTACCCTCCTCTAACAGGCTAGTTTATCATGTATTCTCTCTGTCTCTTACCAACCTTTTGATGTGCTTTCAATAGCTTAATTAACCTAAGACTTTACTACACAGGGCTGCTGTGTGAATATGCCATTGCACATTATTTTCCAATAAGAAGTACCAGCAGTTAATTTCACAGTGCAGCTTCTTTTATCCTTGTGGGCTTACACGTTTTATTTTTACTCAGGAACAGACAATGAGAATGTTCAAATGCTTATAATTCTGTTTTTTAAGTATCTGATGTTTTATTTATTGCTTGAACATTTTCAGTACAGGTTATTGTGAGGAGCCACAGAGTAGATCTTATCAGAGTTTTGCTAATTAGAGTAATAGCTTCTCTGCTGTATATCCCATTCTTTCTAATTGTTTAAGATGCCATTGATGTGCATCATGGGAAGTTTCCATCATGGTGTCTATGTGGGCCTAAATTAACATTTAGGTAAATTTGGCAGAAGAGTATGTAGACATTAATGACTCTTTCACTCTGACTCAGCTGTGGCCCAGGGCTCATTGATGACCTCTGTATTGCTTTATATTTTATTTTGTTTAAGCTGTTTTTCACTGGACGGTACATTAGAAATCACTGTGCATGTTTGTTTGGACAAAGATTTAAGTCAAAATGGACTAGATGGAAACTGGCTGTGCTAACTATGAATTTTAACAACATTCGTTCCTTGTTGTTTGGAACAAGATCCATTTTGTCTCTCTCCATTCCACTGTTTAATGTCTTTCAAAGCACATAGGCCAGTCTATCAATGTCCTGCTCAGGCGCGGTTCCTTGTACTACTTTCCCCCTTCCATTGGGGTTTGTTGTACCTTTCTCTCCCAGGCGAGGGGCACAAGACACGGCCCTTGTTTTATTCTTCGGCGCAGTGCATGTCCTATTCACCGTGTAGGAGGGAGAGCCGTCCCAGAATCTGTAGAAGCAGCGTGGGGTGAAAGGTGGAGAGAACAGTAGCTCACAAGTGAAGAAAAGGGGCTGTGCCGCCCTTCAGCTTTGCATTTGCAGAAGCACACTGACAGGCAAGGTCAGGGAGTAGACCCACACCCTTGTGCAGTCTTGACCTCTCCTTCTCCGAGAGACTTTCTCTAAGGCTCTGCACCCAGCCCGCAATGCGCCATGGCTAATATATAGACTTTGCTTTGTAATGCAGTGTGGCCATAAGCTTTTGGTTGAAGGAATATTCTAAAATGGTTTTCCACAAACTTGAGGCTTCTTCCCTCCGTGTATGAACAGCACTTGCACAGTTGGCATGTGTTGTTTTTCTGCTTGTGATCTTGGTTGATTCTTTCATTTGTTAATCACCACGCAATCAATAGAACACTGCTGAGCAGGTCTTCTCTCTAACTTTTTTTCTTAAAAAAGGCTTCAAGGTGTACATTAGTCTGTGTGGGAATAGTGTTTTGTTGACAGAAGTGATCAGTGGCTGTCTTGTAGCTGTATTGAACTATCTTATCTGTGTGGCTGCTGTGTTGAGATACTGTGCTGAAGGCATTCTTTTAAAAAAGAATAGCAATGAGCTGTCTGAGCTTTGTTGACTGGTCTTTTTCTTTTTATGAGCCCTACAGTAACCTGCCAGACAGCTCTGTTAGAATTCATTTATTCACGCTGGTTTCCCGAGTGTGTTGACAACAAGAAGAAAGATTCCAAGTCGTATGCTGATCGTGTATACGATATATTTTCCTAATTGCATACGTTTGACTTGCAAACTCAGCTACCCGATTAAAAGAATTTTAAAGTATATAGTGCCTTTTTCCACATTGAGCTGCTGCTTTAAACTTTATTCTCAACAGCATGAAAATTGCTCTTTATGAAATAACACATGTTCGTCTGTCAGTCAGCACAGGGAAATTTCAACCCACTGATTTATCTTCAGAATCTAAGTACAGGAGGCACGACGCCAGCTGCCATCAACAGCTTGCTTGAGGTGTCTTAAACCCAGCTGTGCAGCACAAGAAACAATCTGAAAGGGGAGAAGGCCCGTCAAGGGGGAGTTAGAGCTGTCCCCCAAGTTTTTTAAAATTGATTCATTCAGAGCTCTTGAAAGATGTCTTGTTGGCTACAAGCTTGAGTTTGGAGGAACAAAGGACATAGCATAGGTGCCCACCCACCTTCCCACCTTCCTGCTGGCCTCCTGGGGGGTTTGGATGTCCTCCCCCCCGAGTCTAAGCATTTCCCATGGGGGAAGGTTTGATGATCTGCTGTCCGAAGGTCAGAACAAACCCAAGCCAGTGGTTGTCTAGGCTCCATCTTTAACGAAGAGTTATAGCACTGTTGGAGGTGATGTGAGATGGTAATGAAGGACCGCTTTATCTTTGGCATGACGTTGATGCTCAGTGTCTGTGATTTTTGTGTTTAGCTAGGGCTTTGCAGTGGTGTCCGTTCACAGTAACACAATTATTAAGCAACGAATATACAGAGCCTATTAATGCCCTAGACATTTGCGTTCTTAAACCTAGCTACAACATAACAAGCAGTAATTAAGGTATAAATAAGTCTGTCTCAATACAGTGAGTGCCCTCTTAGACCCCGTGAAGCTGGGAAAGATCGTAGTCTTCACAAGAATGAATCCAAAGTGATTTTAAGGATTTTTCAGAATTGGTTCGGCTGTACAAGAAAGGTGATGTAGAAACTAGCCAGTCATTCCAATGGGCCTCTTCTGGAGTGCAAATTAAATGAATATATCGAAGCAGCACAGAGAAATTCAAATCAAATCTGAGGGGTTCATGTGTGTTCACAAGCGAGCACAGTTTACTGTTGGGCTGCATCTGTTTTGACTAAACTCTCCTTTCCATCTGTTTGGTTGATTATTATTTTGCGTTTTGGCTTTTCACTGAGATAACCAGCCTCTCTGTCTCTGTCCCCCGTCTCCAACAGTTCTGTGTGCCGAGGCATCCTTCTACTTCACCAAGGAGCCCAAATCCCAGGACGCGCTGCACGGGCGCAGCGCCATGCTGCGCTGCGAGGTCAGCAGCCCCGCTGGGGTGCGCTACACCTGGCTGCACAACGGGGAGCCGGTCACGGACTCGGACCGGCGCTTCCAGGAGGGCAGCAACCTCAAGTTCACAGCCGTGGACCGCCGCCTGGACGCCGGCAACTTCCAGTGTGTGGCCGTCAGCACGGTGGGCGGCGAGGAGGCCCGCTCCACCAATGCCTCTTTCAACATCAAGTGTGAGTCCCTTCCCTCGCGCCGCTCTGCCCCCCCCCCCCGCATGGGGTGCATTGAGGGCACATTGCATGACTCTTCCTGTCCGCAGTCCGCATTTCTGTGGAGCGTTTTCCTTCATGAAAAGTCCCACTGAACGGAATTCAAATTGGGCTCCCTGTTGACTGAGGCATGTACGTAGTGTGCTGAAAGAACCGTGCTCTACTTCGTTGTGTGATTTTATTAGGGGAAAACACTGGTAAAAACTGAAGGTCCAGGGTATATGCGGCCATATGGTTTGATTCAGATGCCACCTGAAGAATAGCCCTTTTCTTCAGCACATTGTATGGCTCATGTAGGGAGCACTCTGGTGCTCCCTCCCCCCACCACGTTTGTTTTTTAGGCAGCTTTATCATTTTTTTCAAATCATTGGAATACAACTTAAGGTTACCAGTAGGTGAAAGCCGATGTGTGAACCTGCCAAAATTTTATTTTTTAAGATTCCTCCCAAACTATTCTTTTTTTTTAATAGTCTGCTAAGAAATAACCTGGAAGTTTGTGATTTAAAAGCAAAAATAAAAGCATGTGTTTTGTCCCACAGAAATCCACTGCCACCCATTCATGAACAGTACCTGTAACAGAGCCCGTAAACATGTGTAGTACACAGATCACTCTTCTGAATGATCACAGCTGTGTAAGGTGGTGGAACCTAGCTGTTATGTTTCTGAAAAGCGCTCACATTTGTTGCGTAGGCTCAGTCAGGGGAGTGAGATTACTTGCTTTCATAAATATATCATTAAAGTAAAATTAGTCTCTTTGAACACTGTCCAAACTACGTAATGCTGGCCATCCAACTACTTATGTATTAATCAAGTGTGAACGGCTCTCAGTGCAGCACAGGGAATGCAAGTTGTAGTTCCCTTTTCTAATTATGGTGTCCTTCCGCTGACCTCAAAGGAGTCATATTTTAATATACTGTAATTTAGGATTTATAAAACTAAAAGTGAAAACCACGGAAAGAGTTGGTATGCCTGTCACTTAGTCGCAGATCTTTGCTCGTTCGCAGACTGTTGTCAGTGGGTCAGACGCTCAGAATCGCTGGGGCTCTTGTCCCTCTGTACCCAAGTCCCTTCATTACTCAAAGAAAAATAGTTATTGCGAGTATAGAAACCCCTCTTTCATGTAGTTTGCCAAAACGACATGCTAGTATACGAGTCCAGGGCTGTATTCCTGTGATAATGAGGTAGCTAACAGAGGGCCCTGTTGAGCTGTGTGCAGGAGTGGCCCATGCCATGAAAGAGCGGTTTGTTTGCGTTAATGAGGGCTGGGGCTTTGACCGCTTGGACGGGAGAAAGTCACACAATGAAGTGTCAGTGAAGTGCTGCAGTCCCAGACACCCATGGCAGCGCTCCTGCGCTGAGCCAGTGCCGTCAGAAAGTGTTCCCAAAGCAGTAGCATGCTAGTAGGTGCACTGCAGCTCAGAGCTTTAAGGGTTGTGCTACTGTCCCAGAGGATTTCAGTGATGGCTTCCCGTTAAATTAACAGTGCTGAGTGTTGCGGTATTGCAGTTGCAGCATTATTCTTTATCCCTTCCCCAGCGCCATAATTTTCTGAACTGACAATTCAGTCATTTACTGTAAGCTGTTTTTGTCTTGAATTGTTCACAGCTTATTATGCGCTGTCCTGTTTGAGCTGGGCTGTACGCCGTTTATGTGAAATGTCCGAGTTAAAAGGGGCAAGGAGTCCGCAGGTGTGGGTAAGAGTCTCCTCACACACAGCCCGCCTCTTGTGCGAGTAAGCCGAGTCTCGCGGTTACTGCCGTGTCTGGCAGTCGTAAAAGAGAGAAGCAGGCTTGGTTCGCAAAGGGGCTGGTTATGGAACTAAGTGAATGTAGTTAACTGAGGTGTTCTGTTTAAGAAGGTTTCTGAGTGCATTTTTTAAAAAGATTTCCCCTTAAAGCTTTCAGTCGTCCCCCTAGCTTTGCGCGCTGTCTCAGTGAAGTGCTCTCTCCGTTAATCTCAGAGGTCTAACCTCAAGACCGTTTACTTGTCTTCTTGACAGAATGGATTTGAGTTGCAGACTAGTGGCGTCGGTGCTGCTGCAGATCCGAATTTCGCTCTAGCGTGAAATCGTTTGATTAAATGCCAAGCAATCACATAATTGCCATAGTTAAAAGGTAAAAACAGTGGTTCTTGGTGGAAATGTCTTCTAAGTTGTTAGATAAAGTTACTTGGAGTATATTTTCCAAGGATAAAATAGTAAGGGAAGAAATTTGGGGGTGTCTGCTGCCATGCACTCCAGTACAGCAAGAGTCCCATCTCTTTCTGTATTTTAGTGATGCTCTTTAGGAGCTTTTGCTCCAATTCTGAATCTCTCAAACGCAACATTTGTGTGTGAATCCCATGGCTTGCAGTATGTTCATTTAAGACTGGGATCTCTGAAAAGGTGTCAGAGCAGAGCAGCTTTTCTTAAGTTGCTCAGCCTGATATGAGCAACTCCGGAACAACAGGAGGAACACTGCCAGTCTGGTTCTACTCCATTCCCATGAAAACAGTTTCAAAGAATGAATCAGATGCTGAGAATTGATATCCTCTATATCCAAATCCCTTCATCACTGCAAGAAAAATGATTTTGAGAGTATAAATCTTTATATTTCTCTATTTGCTGTAGTTATTACATACAGAAACTTTAAGGTCCTTCCTCCTGATAGCTCTGTCATCTGCATAAAATGAAAGTTGTTGCCCAATTTATCATTTTAATAAGCAAAAGAGTAGAACAGAAATAGACTATAAATGATTTCTCACACCTTGTGTGTGCCTCCTCAGTCCAGCAGTTTATATGGAAAAAAGCTCTTCATTTCAGATGGTTTTGACTGCTTGGCTTTGAGAGCCTCCCAGAAGACTCTTCAAGGGTCCTGGAAGACCTGTCCTGACTCAGAGATGTATTCAATACAGGGTTGCAGGGGACTAGGAGCCTGGCAAGCACAGGGGGCAAAGCAAGACTGCAGCCTGGGCAGGATGCCATCTGGTCGCGTGGTGTACATACACATGGTCTCTCACTTGCTAGGATGAGCATGCATCATGGAGTGGTCTGTGTCTTTCACTCCTTCGTCTTAACTGACAGTGAAGGGGAGTCCCACATTAAAATGCACGTATGCATCCAACGGAGGAATGGGAATATAAATTAACAACACAATAGCAACTGGCTTAATCCCGTTGATCCCCAAAAGATCTTTAGTGCAATTATCAGTTTGTCGTAGTGTGAGGCAATTGTTTATGCACATTTCTTTTCCTAGTTTATTTTGCCCATTGCTAATCTGAATTTGTGACAGATAAGCCTCTGATAATACAAATAAAAGCCATTAGTTATTTTAGTCACATGCTTTTTTGGGGGGTGGTTGGAAGTTTCCCAGCTGAAACGTCGGGATTGCTGCAGCAGCTGTAGAAACCTGTTTGTAATTGAGCAGCTGCTTATTAATCCTGCGATCGTGCTGCTTCTAGTGACAGGTGATCGAAGACTGTGCGGCAGCTGCGATGTGATTGAGGCCAAGCAGCAGCTTTCCTGGTAGTGTAGTGGTGACCAGCTTCACCAGGCAGAGGGCTTACTGGTGCAGGCCCTCAAGGAGCCCTTCCGTGCAGCAGTACTGGACTGTCCTGACTGCATTGGACCACCCTGCTTTCCGTAAAAAGCCCTAGAGGGAATCAGCCTGCATTGTGAAAGAGCGTCATGCTGTTTTCATACTGCTGCCTCGGCTTCTGTATTTCTCTGGGATGTGGGCCGAGAAGTCTGCCTTAGTGGAAGTGGGAGCTCTGATGTGGCAGCTCTCATGGAGAGCAAGCTGGGGTATGCGAAAAGACGAATTCCTAATGCAAGAAATTACATAGGGCTAATAAAACTATTATTATTATTATTATTATTATTATAATTTCTCTCGCCCACGTGTTAGTTTCCCCTCCCTGCGTTCACACCTTTGGCATTGGTCAGTCTTAACTCTCGGGCCCTTTTCATGGCTTCACGGGCCGATAAGATAGGTTGCCATTTTTTCCTCCACTATGAACACTCCCAATCTGTGAAGGTGGCCCTGGGCTGGTTTAACTAGAGGCCACCTTGTCAATGTATCCCAGGATAAGCGGTTGCAGGCGATGTTTGTAGTGTAGTACATTATGTCAAATAGATATCACACCAAAAACTGTTTTATCCTTATTAATCATGCATTAACACTTCACTTAAAACCGAGAACAGGAGGCTCTTCTTTACCAAACGTTGTGGTAGTGTGTAACAGGCTGCCCAGTCATGTTGCTGAAGTCACTGCCTTGGCTTCCTTCAGGCACCAGCCTGATGAGGTCCCTGGACCAGTGAGCCCCTAACAGGCTAGATGGGCCATCTGGCCTCCTGTTGTTTAAAACTGTTCTCATGATTGATTTCTTACGATAAAATGATTTTATTGCCATCATTGGGTCTAGTTATTTCTTTACGGTATGATTTGCGAAAGATTTGATAATTTTATAATTGACTGACTGGATAATTATTCTGCCATTTAAAATGAAATTCTTACTGTCATAGGCCCTGTACAGTATTCCTTTGTATCAGATGTTTGGCACGGATTGAGTTTTACTGTCTAGAGTCTAGAGATAAGCATTTGTTAAAGAGATCATTAGGTATGCATGAGGCTGTCATGGAGATAGTGCCCTTAGGACACCTGGTATCACTGAATTCTTCTGTGATAGCGGCAGAGATTTTGGTGTAGTGAGCTTCGTGGCTCTGCGTGGCCCTCCCGGGGCTGGGCGTCTGCCTGAGAGATGACAATCAAATCCCAGGTGGGGAGGAGCAGCACGCGCCGCACATCCATCATCATTACAGAGGAGTCCTGAAGTTTTTCCATGCTGTGCACGGGATGTTCCACAGGCCCTCTATTCCCCCATGTCAGATTCCTCCTAAAGCTTTCCTATATTCTTCTGCTAATTATAGCCGCCAGTCATAGGCTAGGGGCTGATCAGTTAAAATCAGTGGGAGTCTGCTTCTCAGGGCACTTGGCTAATGATTGTGTGATCTTCCCTTCCCTGTGTGTTTCCCAGCTGCAGTCCAGTCTCCGTAAACTCTGGAGATATAAATGGATACACAAAATGCTTTTTTCACCTTAAGAACAGCATGCACGTGCTTGGTGTTGCTGCAGAGTGTTTAAATTGAGCACGTGTCTTGCAGTTTTACGTTGCAGTCCCACAGCTACGGCTCCCAAACTATGTTTTATCAGTTTTGCTACAGGCCTCATCTGGTCCAGAGCAGCTGTGGCTCTGGTGTGGACTTCAGCTTTCTTACTGCAAGCTTTAACAAACAGGAATAGTAGCAACGGAGGGGAGATGTGTGGTTGCTGGTATGTGACTGATTTCCCCAGGACTTTGGCCAGGAATGAAGGCACAAAAACAAATATCAACCCCTTCCCTTCATCTGTTTCTGAAGAGTGGTTCCTAACATTGCCCGTAGATTAGATAGAAAGGTCACACTTCACAGTTGCACAGCCCCACTGCACGCGTGCTGTGAAAGCTCAGAAAATACATAGGCTTAGAGCACCAAACTGTTTTAATATTTCCACAGTGTCAGAGATTGAGTCTATTTTAGAATTTTTTTACTGCAATACAATTTTTAGCATTTAAATGCCTTTAGAATTTTCTGCCACTGGTCAGTCGAATTCTCAGACAGCTATTGGCTTCATACACCAATAGGATAGGCTGCCTTTTTGCTCAAGAATTTTGCCCAAAACTTATTTAAGTCTAATGTATCAATGTTTCTGCATCAATGTTGCCGATTTTTTTAATGCCCTGTGATACTAAGACTTCTACACCAACGTATAATGCGATTTTGTGTAAGAATTGTCCTTCACAGATGGGGTCAGGTGGAAATGGAACGGCTCTTGTTTTCTTTTATATCGTAATTTATTTTTTACAGGTTCCTTTTTATTTTGCCTGTCATTAATCTCGACGTCCGACAGATGAGACTTTGATTCTGGTTGTCAGAAGTGTTGGTTCTTCTCTTACATACATTCTGAGATGACCATTCTTTGTGGAGAATTCAGGAAGACTAGTCTTGCGTAGGCAAATGTGTCCTACATACCTTTCCTTCTAGTCTACTTGATAAAAATGCTTGGCTTGAGGTTTCAAAAGTAAATTCACTCGGAATTGTCTTCTGGGTTCCAAAGCAAAATGCATGAAAAACAGACACCTTGCATTCAGGCACACTTCTTCCTCTCCAGTTTTTCTTCTTCAGTGGCCGTGAGAGTGTGCTTTTTCCTGCCTTTGCCCACATTTTAGAAAACGGACTGGGGTTTTGTCTCGTATTTTGTTGTGATCCTTGTCGTTCCGCTCTCTCCTCAGGGTTAGAGAGTGGGGGCGTGACCCTGAAGGAGCCCGCCTCCGAGGCGGAGATCCAGAGCTCGGCCCCAGTGACGCTCTCCTGCCACATCGACGGGCACCCGCGGTGAGTCCGACTCCCAGTCAGCGCACCGGCTAAGTAGGCTGGCTCCTGTGTACAACGCTGTAAAACTGTCAAGCTGACTGTTTTTTTTGTTTTGCTCTTTCTTCAGCCCTGCGTGCCAGTGGTTCAAAGATGGCACAAAACTGACGGAGAAAAGCCACCAGGTCAATAACAAGGAGCGCACGCTGACCATCAAGAGTGCCACCCCCGACGACAACGGGGTCTACTACTGCTGCGCCAAGAACGCGGCCGGCCAGGTCTGCAGCAGTGAAAACTTCACTCTCAACATTATAGGTGTGTGGCTGCCCGGCTTCGTGCGTTTGACAACAGGAGCCACCTTAGGGAAGCTAGAAGAAGACCAGCTTTTGGAAGGGCCACAGTGAAGCTCGGTTCCGTTACGCCCCCTCGGTTTACTTTTTTTAGATTATATCCAAGTGCTGTTCTGCTAAGCAGGTACTCCTTCACAAAGGATGCACTTTTCTGAGTGGATGTTGATAAGCGTTACCTGTGTTGCAGACTTGTAAGGCGCTTTGATCCCATCTCAAATACGGCTTTGTCGTCTGTCGGCTTTTCATTTGGGCTTCTCCAGACACGTCTTTCAATTTTTCAACCAGCTTCCCTGCTTAACAGCCCGCAAATAAATGGGGGAGTGACTGTTTGTTTTTGTACAGGTTGATTGACTTTCAAGTATACTCCAGGTGAAAAGCAGTGTATATAAGTCCCCCTTTGAGTTTGAACACCTGATAACCTTTAGGACAGCTGTAAGGTTTTCTTTAAGCATTTGCAAAGGCATAATCCCTGTCTCGCAGCATTTTCTTTTCTGTTTTTAGAAACAAAGGAGTTGTCCTGAAACAGCCATGCCTTTCAGTTCCCAAGGGAGTCTGTGGTGCACCTACTATCATAGGGCTTTGTTCGAGAAAACTGTCAAAATTCACAAGGCCATTAATCCATATTTAACTTGAGTTGTTGGGCAACTTTAATTTTTTTCTTACTTTGCTACTGTTTCTTTGTGGCTGTTATGTTTGCAATCTAATCATTTTGTTCAAAGCTAAATATATGCAACCCAAAATCCGGGAATATTATTCTCGTGAAGGGAGGGACCATAATCTAATTACCACCTCTTTTATTGTTGAAGCATTCCCTTCCTTTTCCCAGGTTGTTACACACCATTCAGAACTGCCAGTGTGAGGAGGCCTGGTGTGGATATTAAGCTCCAATTACCTCTTTTTGCCACTGAGTATTAAAGTGCTGTTAGCATATTAAGTTACCTTCAGTTGAAAGTGGTGTGGATATTTGGCTCGGTTTACAGAGGAAAAGGCTTTTACTTATGTATGTGTGAGAAAACATTCCAGCCTAAAACACAAACAGGCAGTTCAGGCTTGGTGCTTGATTAGCGGTCTCTTCAGCGAGCATCTTAAACCTGCTCAGGACGTTCTGCAGCTCAGTGTGTCTCAGCCTTGTGTTTTTCCACACTCCAGGGAGATATTCGGTTTTCCAGGCTCTCATTAGTTAAAACGATTCAGGTGACTAATGAGTGGATTATTGCTAGAAGGAAGTAAGGGATAAACTGACTTTCACTGTGTTGTTTTCTCATTTTTCTGACACTTAAAAACGGGACCTTGTTATCTTATGACATGGTTCCCAATCTGTGAAACATGAGACCTCCTAATCGACTTACGTTTTTTCTAAATCCTCTTCTGGTTTTAATCTGTTTGTCGTGCAATCTGCCTAGATGTCGCAAAGGCTTACCTGCAGATTGTCTCCGGTAGAGATCTTGGGTTCACCCTGGCCTCCGCTTTGCACTGCTCTCCCTCTCTGGCATGTCTGTGGGTGGCCTGAAAGTGTAGCTGCCTGAGGTTAAATGTATAGAGACCATTCTAAGCACGTGAAGAACTGCACTAATGACACGCAGAGCATCTTGCAAGCTCAAGATCACACCTGTGATGCCTCACTTTTCTCTGTTTGTGTTAACAGTTTAAGGTGAAGGGTCACATAAATCTGCTGTGTTCTTTCTATAAAGGAGGGTGATTTTGTTCCAAAGAAGCTTTGCTGCCTACTGAAAGACTGTTAAATGTGTTTTCACATTGATTTTCAAATCTATTTGTGCATTTGTTAAACTAGTTGTCGTGTTACATCCAGGTAGCAAATGAAGTTGATCTGTTGCTGTCACTGCTGTTTTTTATTTCCATTTACCAGCTGATGTAAAATTTGAGAAGTCTGTCAGTTTCTCTCTGATATTTTGGGATAAGCCTTATGGGCTTCCATTAGGAATGTACTTCCTGACCTCATTCATTCACACAGAGGCCAGGAGCCATTGAAATGCTGCTGTTGAACCACCTGAAACCCAGTTTTGTCTGCTGTTAGCAGCATTTAATAAAAGCTGGTATGTGAGCAAGTCCTGTAACGGCGCGGCATGGTCCTATAAGCACAAGTGGAGAATAAGGTATTTCTACCTTTGACGGAAGTCTGTCTCCTTCCTAATTGTGTCTCCAGGAGCAGATCATCCAAGTGTCCCTCCATTTCGCATTCTTTTTTGGGGAAAAAATATCTAAACAATCTGTAGATTAAAGTTGTAATACAAGGAAAAGATCAGTTATTTTTTCTAATTGGAGTTTAAAAAAATATTAGCCGTAATTTAATCCAGGTGCTCTGGAAATGAAGTTCCGTTTTTTTGCCTCAGTTTAATTTGTTTTTTCACTTGAATGAACTCGCTGAGACCCGAGAAGAGTAAGCCGCTCTGCGATTCCTCCCTCAGATAAGAGCTTCCCGCAGCCAGTGGTCAGCCCAGAGGACCAGGTGGTCAACAAGAACGAGGAGGCCATGTTTCACTGCCAGTTCGCCGCCGAGCCGCCCCCGCTACAGGAGTGGCTCCACGAGAACGAGCTCCTTGTCAACAAATCACGGTACTTCGGCTCCCCCTCGTCTCGGCAGGCCCGGCCCAACTGTCCCACGTTAAGTGGGGTACCATAAGAGGGCGTAATTGTCCAGTGGAACTCTAAGAGTGTTGGTTTATATTTGCTTATTGAGGTGAGAAACCCACACAAGGATAAGTGCGTGGGTTTTCAGAAATGTGCCCTTGGGGATAAAATTAAATCTACTAGCACAGCAGCAGAAATCTGCTTCATTCCCATTGGTTTGCAACAGCCACCAATTTCTAACCCCTCTTTATCATCCAGAATTATCAGAATCTGTGCAGACCTGCAGGCAGGCAGAACACCCCTTTACAGTAATGCTCGTGCAAACTTAGATCTCTGACAGGCAGTGCTTGCGCAGCAAGCTTCCTATTTCAGAGAACATGCACATGCAATCCATTCTCTAACATCATTTAATGTGGTGAGGTCCGCGGTCTTCTGAGGCAAATGAGGTTTTGTCAGACCAATGGGAGATTACTAGGGAGGCTCACATTTGTTGCACATGATATTCATGTATGGAGCCATATAATTGCAGAGATTGTGCGATGCCTCTATTTTTGTTGGAACGTTTTTTTATTCCTTCTGAGGTGTCTGCAGCAAAGAAATAAGAGTAACTGATTGATTTTGTCATTTTAATTCTCTGTTCAAACCCCCTGTCCCTGTTGTGCTTTTGGAATTCTGTTCACGAAAAGAGTTTGACACTATATCAAAATAAGCAGCATTCCAGTGTAAAATAGTCTGTCTTCATCCCAGAAGCAGAAAGCAAAAGCCTAAAATTTCAGGCAAAACACAGCTGACCGATGGCTCCACCTGCCAATAACTCCACACTGAGTTGACATTATCTCAATTTTTGACTGATTGTGTGCTAAAGAGGTGTGCTGCAGGACCTATCACATAGGAATGTGGTTTCCTTGGTTATAAAAAAAGTGAAGTGGATGCTGTTTTGGAGCTCCTCTGGAATGAAATGAGCAGGCCGTGAGGAATGTCCCAGAAATGGGGCCTCCTGCAGTCACTGGAGCGTTACAGAGCCGTGGGGTCTGCGAAGCGTGTCCATCTGGTCAGTCCTGGAGCGCCGGAGAGGAAGTAACATGGCGGAAACAGAATTGCTTTGACCTGGGCAGAACAGAGCCGGACAGGGTTTTTCTTGTGTGGCCTGTTTCCAATCACTGCCACGCTAGAACATGCCCTCGCGGTGATTCAAGTGGCATTTTGCACCCTTGTAAAGTTGTCGGCCCAGCCTGTGGCGTCGGCAGCCTGAGCAGCGCTGTCTGTCTCCCAGGCTGGAGCTTCTCGCACATTTCTGTGAACAGGCCTCACAGCAGGATGTGAACCACAGAGTGCGTGTCAGCAGCCGGAGGGGGAGGGTGGCTTGCTAGGATTGCCATAGGTAGCAGGATGCGCTGTTTTTAAATTGGACAGAAAACATCAGTGTTCAGATGAGGTGGGAGCAATTCGGTCAAGCCAGTGCTGCTTTTTTGGAGCAGACTAAAGCGGGCTTTGTTCAGCACTTCACATTACAGCTGAAGTGTATTTCAACGTTAAAAGGTTTTGAATCTTACATCGGTGTTTGACAGAGAGGAATGTCTCGTGGAATCTGAGTTGGGATGAAGGGAGTACCTAGAGCTGAGAAAACTTGACATTGTTCCAGCCCAGAGTTTAATAACTTATGTAATGTTATTATTAATATGATATATGAATGCACCAGTATGTCAGTACAGTAATTGCTATGGAATATTCTTATTCAGAGAAAAGTGGGAAACATCACTTGGTACCATTCGTGACTGCATGTATTGTCTAGGCAGTTCAGAAAAGAACATTTTATTGAATCGGTTTAGGGTTGAATTAGAGTAGTTCCCGTCTCTATTGCTTCATCATGCTGATCTTGTCTAATGAGGCTTGTACAGAATCCTTGGAGTTGACATCAGATTTGTTTTTTTGTATGGATATAGCACGCTGCATGCCACACTATACTGTCAGCTCAATAAGAGGTGCAATTGCAACACTGTAGTTAAACTTTTCAATGGCCTCCATTAGCAGGAAGATCTGAGCCTCGAACTAACTAAGAGATTTCACTTTTAATTTGTCAGTCTCGAGTTGGATTACAATAGCAGTTGTTAGCATTTCTTTCCCCTTAAGAGCAGCACTTGTTTTCTTTGTAGAGTAAAAGGATGCATTTAAGTATGCACATGTCTGACATGCAGAGATCATAAAGAGAAAAACAAGATGAGTTTCAGTCGTGGATAGCTTTTTTTTACTGAATTGAATAATTAAGCATTTGGACAAGGGTAGGAGAGTGTGAAAGGAGTTTTGAGTTTTAAGCAGAATCTGTAAAGAAACAGAATACTCCCTGTATTAAGCTTTCATTTTTGGTTTCAAATTAAAATGCACTAAATCTTCACTAATAAAGGTTTCTGTGCTTTGCTTGGCTTAAAAAAAATCATAAGCAGATTTGCTAAGACATTCTTTAAAGACCAGAAGGAAATACATTTAAAAAAAAACTGGATAAGAGAGTTTACAAAAAAATGCACCGGCTCATTTATCAGTGTTACATTTCTCCTCAAGACTCCTGGGGCAGTCTGACTGTTCAGCTTGTGAAACTGCCCTCAGGCCCCGTCTTCAAATAGACATCTCCGAGTCTGTCTCCAAAAGCGGAGGGTCCCTGTTGTACGAAAGTCTGCTGTTTTTAGAATTGCTAACAGCGCTTGTAATCCATTGCCAAGGCAAACATCGATATTTCTCGTGCTGACCTGGGGTCTGGCAGATGTGACCTGCAGTATCTGTCTTAAGACAGGGTTTTCACACTGGACAGGGGCGTTCATGAGGATGGGGACATCACATCACAGTGTAAACCCTAGCCTTCAATGAAGAGAGCTGTGCATTTCCTGAATGTTAGACTTCAAATAATAATGGGTGTCTTTAATTGTGCAGGAATTGCAGGGTTTTAGAAACTGTCAGTTAACTAAGTAGTTAGCACCATGCCTTTTCCCATATGAAGTGTATCTTAGGCCCAGCAGTTACACTATATAGAAATAATGAATTTCACTGCTTGATTAATATTCCACAATGCAAGTGTCTGCTTAAAATGACATAAACACAGGCCACATACAGTTTAGATTTAAATTGCCATGATCTTTCTCTATTTAGTAGATGGTAAATCTGTAGCATGCCTTAGTTTTTAATGCTTTTATCCATTTTCATTACCTTCATATACCTGTACCGGTATGGGGGTGTTTACCCAAAACAGTACTAGAATTTAAGGTAATCCAAATATTAAAGCTCATTGTTTTTCAACCTGTTAGTGTTACATTAGTGTGTGGATAAAGGGAATTTACATATTTTCTTGGAGGATTGGGGTGGTTAATCGTTATAGCTTTAGGCAATTTCCCTTAATATGAGCTTTAAAACCACAACAATAGTCATGTGTAGTAGGAATCAAGGCATTGCCTATGATGCATGATTTCAATTATTTCCTTTGTCCTTTGTGAGTTTCTTGAGAAAGTTTTCTGACTTGATTTTGCCTCCAGCCAGTCGGAACTGCAAAACTCTAGTATGTACAACCCACCACATGTATTACTGCAGCTGGGAGCACTCCTGATCAGATCACTTTATTAGGAATGAGTGGTGACTACAAAGGCTTGCAATGTAGTGTCCCCTCCCTCTGCTCTGGAGCTCCTTTTGCTAGGAGTGGGTAAGGGACTGGATATACAATGCGTCTACAGTGCAGACCTGTGCATACTGTTCTGCTCTTACTAATGTGTTTGTGCTCTCTCTCCAGGGTGGTCGTGTTCCCCAACGGTACCCTCCTGATCACACAGGTGAAGCCCCGCAACACAGGGCTGTACAAGTGTGTGGCACAAGGTGTGCGAGGGAACCGCGTCACGCAGCAGGCATCGCTCAGGCTGGCAGGTACGACCTCGGGCGCCTTTGCACTGCATCCGAGCAGAGAGCGGCCTGGGATTCCCTCTCGTTTCGCACACTTTCCTGCCACAAAGATAAATCCTGAATCTTCCTGAGGTCAGGGGGAATCTTTCACCAGGTGCAAGGAGACCTACATGTGCTGATTCCAGAGGACTCGCGTCTAGAGAGCTTGGTCTCAATGTTTCCAAAAGAAAATGAATTTTAAGACCCTCAAATACAGTGTACCATAAACTTACAAAGTCTTTTTTTTTCCCTTTTTGAATTTGTAGCAGAGTACTTGTTTCTTTTATACATTTTTCCTGGTTATGCATTTATTAACTGTAATATTTACTTCTACCTTTGCTGCCAAAAGAAAGAAATCATACCCTGCCTGCCTTTTCTGGGTCTAACAGTTGTCCTAGTCTTGCTTTTCCTGCTTCAAAAGCTCTGCCCTGCTGATTTCTTTAACAGGCCCATTGATTCTCTCAGTGGGACAGGGCTTCTGGCTCCTCTCTCCCGCTCTCTCGGCCCGGCCTGTGAGCAGCAGCCGGTTGTGCCCTCACAGTGGCACGGTGGCTGCCATTGTGAGGCCTTTAGTGCTGGACCTTTTTAAGCAGGTACCCTCGGGCCGTGCATGTGGCGCATTAACCCAATGAGCCACGGCCCTACCTAAGTGCATTAATTCACTTAATCTGACGCTAATCCATTACAGTCTTAAACCAGATTGTGTCATGACTACTCGGAATTTAGAATGGGTAAGCCAATTCTATAGTTTATGTACTTAAAATGCCATTTAAAATGTTTTACATAACCGACTAATATTCCTGACCTGCTTTTAAAAACCTTGTGTGCAGACTGAGTGTTTAATGGTTTCCACCAGACTCCCTGAACATACAAATGACTTCCAGCTTGTCAAAAGGGAACTGCTATTTTCTAAATTGGCAATTTAGTCTCTTCCTCTTCCGAATTGTTTGGCAGGGCTGTTTGAATAATGCGTCTACTGTTTGTTGGGCTGCTCAACGTTTGCCGTGTTTTCGGGACCATTTTCAGGCTTGTGCAGAGATGGTGGGCCATTAGCAGGCTTGTGTGAGCGACCGAGCTGGACAGCTCACGTCTTTCGTGATGAAGGCTGCTTATTGCATGCCGATGAATTCGGTGTGGGGGGGGAAACCAACGTTTTCCGGTTGTAATCCCAGAACTGGAGGACATGCTTCCGGCGATGTCGAAGGTGTTCACGGCGGACACGATGCAGCGCGTGCCCTGCCGCCCGCCCCGAGGGCACCCCGAGCCGGAGGTGTGGTGGGAGAGGGGCGGGCAGCGCGTCCCCGCCAGCGGGCGGTTCTACCAGGACGGCGTCGACCTCGTCTTCAGCCCCACCGAGGAGGGGGACGCGGGCGCCTACACCTGCGTGGCAGAGAACAAGGCGGGGCGGCGGACGCAGGAGCTCACGGTCACCGTCGCAAGTGAGCGGCGCCGCTCTTCGCCGGCAGCACAACACCTTGAGAACGGCTGTAACCTTCCTTCTCCAGATTAAGGAAACCAGCGTTTTGTGTTGGCAGCTGCACATGTGGAATGAGCCATTATGTTCTCTGTGAGGAAATTGGATGCAGATGGTGCTGGTTGCTTAAACTGCTGTGAATTAAGATTTTTAGTGTTGGACTGACTCTGCCTGCCTCCTATGCCTGTAATGACACTAGCAAAAAAAAAGATGATTTGTTAGCACTAAGTATTGCCTTGTTAGAAGCTGACCTTCTGTAGTGCAGAAGGGGTTACAGCATGGTATGGTCGTGACTTCCATTAAACAATAGTGCACTTCGACCCGAAGTCTTTAGATCAACAGGGTGGGAAACAAGCTGAAAGCCTCCCTTATATTGAAGCTAGGTGTCGTGTGCTGACTGAGGAAAGGTGGGACTTCAGAAGGTTTTCCAAAAGATGTATGATGTGGAGTCTACAATAAAAACAGACGTTTACGTTAAGCAAAACTGATTTGGAATTGGACATGTTCCGAAAGAATTTTATAGTTTCTGTTTTTGTTTCTGTAATATCAATAGGTGATCAGTCTAGCGCAATATTGCAAACACAGGAGGAGACATCTTTCAAAAATTTGCAGATTTTGAATATTCAGAATTGTTGATAGATTTTTTTAAGTGCGACTGTTTCTTGATTTTTTTGTGTCTTTAAAGCAATTTAATTTGATACAAGCACAAGCACTTACTTGTACATGTAATATCATAATATGGTTTATCATTTCAGGGGAAAAAATCCCATCACTTATTATCATGTGATCCAAACGATTATGGACCTCAGCTCCTGTGTATAAGGGGGTGGCACTGTACTTTTTAAAGGTGGAGACATGGGGACGGAGTGTGTTTTTGTAAAGTCCAGTCTTGTGTGCACTTCCAGCTGCCCCGGAGTGGGTGACGAAGCCCGTGGACAGCAACCTGGAGGAAGGGAAGCCTGGGTTCCTGCACTGCCACACTAGGGCCACACCTGAGCCCCAGGTCACCTGGTTCCGGAACAACAATGAGATCCACTTTGAGGTGAGGGACTGGGGGAAAGTGTGCTCACTCATGCACACACAAAGCTCTCCCTGCAGCGGGCCAAATCCATGCATCCTGAAGACCAACTATACCGATGAGCCCAGCTGCTGAAAAGCCTTTCTTGCTGCACTGAAGCTGGAAAGGACGGCGCAAATATTTTCCTGCCTTGCTTGAATAATGGTGCTCTCTATAGCCGTGGGCAAGTGACTGTCAGCAAAAAAGAACTTGACAGTCTGCAGTCTGAGTTAGTTCCTGTTTTAGTTCTGTTCATTCACTGCTCAAGTTGAAGAAAAATGTCAATCGTTTTGTGAATGATCTTAAGAATTCGCTTGTTACAAAATCAGTTTATTGAATGGAACAGCACGGAATATTTTTAGGATTAAGGCATAAAAAGCCTTTATTCAAATCCAAAGAATATTTTTTGCCAGCTCCTTATCTAAGATGTTTTTATTCTAGGATGGCCGTTTCACACTGTTTCCAAATGGGTCCCTGCGCATTAATAATGTGGAGGTGTATGATGGGACAGTTTATCGGTGTCAGGCCAGGACCGAGGCTGGGTTTATCCTGGGTCAGGCTCGTGTGCACATTCTGGGTAAGGCTCTCCATTTCACTAAGATTTCCAGTCAAAGTGAGACTTCAGAAGGAATGCTGTTGCAACCCCCTTTGAAATAAGCATTCATCTTATTTTGTGGCCCGAACTTTTAGAGGTTGTTACTGAACAACATTAATGAACAGCGCTAAGGTTTGTTAAAAAATTTAATAAACTTTGGAAAGATTTCTACTTCCATGTTGGTTCATTAAATATTTTTTTAATGGCTTTGAACGATGAAGATGTGTGGTTGCAACCAGACATGTTAACTGGCGTGGAGGGGTATTCCCTTCATTTTCTCTGTGTTATATTAAGGTAACAAAGAGTAATTTTAATTATCAACCAACCTGCATTGAATGTGCATAAATGAATGATCCAAGATGTGAATTGTGATCTTAAAATCCCCTTCAGATTCCACAAGTGATCAATTTAGGTTGTAAGGTCTCTTGCCACTCTCCAAGATGGATAGCTTGTACTATGTTTTGCACTTGTACATTTTGTGCCCCTCTCTCCTCTCCTCTCATACCATCCATCATGGTTGTGTTTCAGAAAAACTGAAGTTCACCCCTCCTCCCCAGCCAGTGCAGTGCATGGAGCTGGATAAAGAGATCAGTGTGCAGTGCTCAGCAAAGGGCCGAGAGCCCCCCACCATCCAGTGGATTAAAGCAGGTAGGTGATTCCGCAGGGGCTCAAAAGAGCCCTCCACACCACCTCTCACCTTCCTGCAGGCTGAGGGCTCCCGAGCAAGAGTGAAGTTTGCAAGCACGAGGAGGCCGTGGGGCAGATCGAGCTCCTCCGGTTCACTCCATTTATGTTAGGTTAAAGCAGTAACTGCAGAAGATCTCTGCACACCACATGTGTGGACTAAGCTACTCAAATTTTAAAAATCCAACCTTGCATTTCAGTGTTAAGTCCATACTGCTTCACTCAAGTCACAAACCAGTCAGTCGGCTTCAATAATGACTGCTTGAAGCCTTTCGTAAGACTCCTGTTTTGGCCCAGCTTTGATAGTAGGTGTTCTTGTGCTCCAGTGTGGTGGTGGTGATGCAGACCTGTTTGTTCATCCTTCAGATGGCAGCAGCATCCCCTCCAGTGCGAAGCAGAGGAGCGGGACGCTCCACTTCCTCAAAGTATCTCGCAGTGATGCTGGCAACTACACCTGCATTGCCTCCAACAGCCTGCAGGGGGAGATCCGTGCTGTGGTGCATCTCAATGTGGCAGGTAAGGTAGTCTTCCCATGCAGGTGGGGCCGATCTTCTGCAGGCAAAAAGTCATAAAAGTATAGCCCAGTGAATCAGAGAGCTACAAACTTCTGCATATTTAGAATGTAGTGAATATTAATTTGGAAGGCAAGACCAACCTGTTGCTTCGTCTTGTACACAGTGTTTGCATTCATAGTTGGGTGCCAACTGTTTCAGGTATGCTTCCCTTCAGAATTAGAAGCTCATTCATTACTTTCCACACTGCTGACGGGGCAAGCAAATACTCCTATCATTCTATTTTTAATACTTATTATTAGTAATTTTTATGTGTGTGTTGAAAGAGACACCTTCCCCACAAAACACCCACCTGACCTAGTTGATTTCTTCTTTTACTCTGCCTGGCCTTTGCCTCAGTGTTCATACTCTTCAAGCTGGAGCCTGAGAATACCACAGTGTACCAGGGTCACACCGCCTTACTGCACTGCCAGGCCACTGGAGACCCTGAGCCCTACATACAGTGGATGATCAAGGACAAGATCCTGGACTCCAGCAAAAGCAGGTTTGATTCACACCAGAAAAAACACCCTCCATTTCATTTACTATATTGTGTATAATCTCCATTGTTTTTGCCTGTGTCTTGTTTTATTGTATGGATGTCATTACACCATGGTCTAAACTGTAGTCTTAATTACTTACACTTTCTGGACACTCCACTCAAAGCGCTTTACAGGTAATGGGGACTCCCCTCCACCACCAGTGTGTAGCCCCACCTGGATGATGTGATGGCAGCCATAGTGCGCCAGTACGCTCACCACACACCAGCTCTCAGTGGGGAAGAGAACAGCGTAATGAAGTCAGTTCATAGATGGGGATTATTAGGAGGCCATGACTGATATGGGCCAGTGGGAAATTTGGCCAGGATACCGGGGTTAAACCCCCTACTCTTTTTGAGAAACGCCCTGGGATTTTAAATGACCACAGAGTTAGGACCTCGGTTTTACATCTCATCCGAAGGATGGCGCCTGTTTACAGTATAGTGTCCCCATCACTGTATTGGGGCATTAGGTCCCAAATAGACAGCAGAGTGAGCACCCCCTGCTGGCCCCACTAACACCACTTCCAGCAGAAACCTTACTTTTTCCCAGCAGGCCTCCCATCAAGGTACTGATCAGGCCCACACCTGCTGAGCTTCAGTGGGCTGCCAGTTGTGAGCTGCAGGGTGATATGGCTGCTGGCTGAAATCTTTCCTCACATGACACGCAAGGGACTTGCCATGCTAAACAAATACCGAAGAGGAGAAAACACATCAGTCTTGAGCTCAAACAAAATCAGAGGGTTGTCGGTTCAGATCCTGGGAGAGCACACTGCTCTCCAAAATAGGAAATTTGGCCAGGATGCCTGGGTAACACCCCTACATGTCTTGAGAAATGCCCACAGAGTCAGGACCTCAGTTTTAAGTCTCATCCAAAGGAGGGTGCCTTTGTACAGTATATGTCCCCATCACTATACTGGGGCATTAGGACCCACACAGACCACAGGGTGAGCGCCCCTGTACTGGCTCCTCTACTACCTCTTCCAGCAGCATCCTTGGCTTTCCCAGGAGGTCTCCCATCCAGGTATTGACCAGGCTCACACCTTCTGAGCTTCAGTGGGCTGCCAGTTGAGTTGCAGGGTGATATGGCTGCTGGCTATGTTGCAATCTTGACAGGCTCATCTGTTCTCTTGTTCGTTCAGACCTTTTTTGTGTGACCTGCTGTTGTATACTCATGCAGGATGAGAACTAAGGCACTAGAGCCCTATATGGTCTTTGGCAGAGAAATTAAAAATTATACTGATCAGTAATGTGCAGTGGAGTTAAGCCATCTCTGGCATTTACCATAGAAATGTAATCAGAATAACTTTAATTGTCTTTGTTTTCTAATATAAATGTTGTATACAGCTTGTTTTTTTTCATCTTTAGAGTTAAATGCTTATTTGTTCAGCCTTGTAAATCTACTCACTTGGATGCCTGGTTAATGGTAGCTGGCTATTTTCCTATTATTTATTTAATTACTGTTAGAGAGTGAGCTTTTTACTTGTTTGTTTTGTTTCAGTGAAATGCCTTTGGTCACGCAAACCCCTCAGAGTGCTGCAGGCAGTAGAATTATGTCTTGTAAAGGGGGAAAAGGTTAGCCATCAAGGCTAATAGGATCTGGGATTAAATGATTTGGCATGTGGTCTTCCCGAGGTTCCTAAGAAATTGAGTTTTTGTGTTTGGCACAGTTGCTTCAGAATCATATTTCTCTTGATTAACAATTTCATGGCCATTAACTAGAAATATTTAATTTGGAAGCAGTGTTGTACCCTGAGATCTGGGTTAATGGATGTCGTACATATTTAAGGCTTCCTCTACAATGTCCGTTTTTGTAAAAGATTTCTAAAGGTCCATATATGTGGATACTCTGACAGCATCAATGACTTTCACAACCCTGTAAACAAATACGTTCTAAATTTCACATTGGCCAGTGTGCAGCTAGAGACTAAATCGTACATGTAGTTGCAGATTTATGCAAGTTTTGCCTTCGCAATAGGTCAAGGAATGCCTGTAAAAGCTTTAAAACGGAACCAGTAGCGTCCTTCGTGCTCTTTGCTAGTTAGTAATTTTTGGCCTCTTTCTTCTTTGTCTCCCAGATTTCAGAAGATGCCAAATGGCTCCTTGATCATCAGGGATGTGACCACAGAGGACACAGGGAAATACACTTGCATAGCTGGAAACAGCTGTAACATCAGATCAAGCGGAGCTCAGCTCTACGTTGTAGGTAAGAGGATGCAGATCATTACAGTGAATGAGCTTTCTGTCATGGAGTCCTACAGGGTTTTAGATTATATTTGCCCAGTTAATGTTGCTTGACAATTTTATCCACCAGCCCAAAAATCAATAAAAACCCATAAGCAATGAATTGTCCCATATTTGTATGTATGATTAAATAGAAATGTTGTCTACCTCCTGTAAGCATCTGTTTACATGCTTTTTATCTATAACATCAGTGTTTCAAGATCTTTAATGACCATGTAGACAGGACATTGAATTAAATGTCTCATCTGAAGGAAAGCACCTCCTCCTGGTCACTATTCTGGGCCAGTGGTCTTGGAAATGGATTCAGAGGAAGGAGTGCCCCCTACTGGTCCATCAAAAAAAATATTTTTTTCTTGGAGATCTTGTGCTACTGACCATGTCCAGTCTTGTTTAGTTTCTGTGATCTGACATCAGTCTATAAACCTGGTGATGCTGCTAGACTGAATTCATCCACATTCCTGCTTATTTCCCTCTTATAGGAAGGATAAACTAAGTACACAGATAGAAGAAAGGGTATTCTGTCTGATTTGCTATTCAGTTGTGGGGATTATGTAATTGCTGCCAGTTGGAGTGCAGAGACATAGGTTTCCAAAGATTGTACAGGATCTAACAGATTACTAAAGTGTCTTTATTCAGCAGGCATCTAAGGCCAAGGGCCAGCAAGTACCTATTGTATCTTGACAAGAAACAGCCTCAGCTCTGAAAATAAGTCACAAGGATGGAGGGAGTAATTGAATCAAGCTGCTGTAAATGGCTTATATTCAATTATGAAAGTTATAAATAAAAAGGGTAACTTTAAGTCCATAACTTTAAGGTGACCATTTATTTAACATCTGTGCAGTAACTTAATCTTGATTGATTTAATGCAGTAGATAGTTTAATGCAATAAACACTTTCTGTAAGATTTAATTGACTTCTTTGTGAGTTGCCTTTCATCTAAATTAGGTTATAAACAAGGTTTAGTATTGCTTGTGTCCATCTGTAAAAGAATGCTTGTGATAAAGTGTTACTTTATAGAAAAGTAGGAGAAGGATATGTTCAACGGTTATAATTGGGGGCTTTGTCCACAGGTGTTCATTCGATAATATTCACTTAAGAGGTGGTACAACTCTCCACATTGTATCTCTGCTATAACTGTGATGCTAATATTGTCACTTAAATGTGGGCCATGAGTTAGTGAGCTGTGCAATAGTTTGTGTTTGATAGGCTGGCCAGCAAGGATGAAGTGTAGCTTTTTTTCTCTGAATGACAGAGTAAAGACGGAAGTGAGGCAGTGATTAGGCTCTTAAGAAATTCAATCTTTTGCAGAAAAGCCCATGACGAAGGTGGGGGAGGAGGATGAGAAGGCCCCCTACAAGATGATCCAGACCATCGGGCTGTCCGTGGGGGCGGCAGTGGCCTACATCATCATTGTCCTGGGCCTGATGTTCTACTGTAAGAAGCGCCGCAACGCCAAGCGGCTGCAGAAGAGTGCCGAGGGAGAGGAGCCCGAGATGGAGTGTCTGAACGGTGAGAGTCTGAGTGGGGCGCCGCTCATCCCGGTCCCGGAGAGAAGCCGGGAATAACTTCCGGAAAGTGCTGAAAATGTTTCATGTCCCGGAAGATCCGAGGGAAGACCAGGGCAGGATTCTATTAATATTAACACAGTGACAGAGGAATACTGTGGCTACTATTTGCGAAACAACCGGTAAAAGCATTGGTTTTACATTGCGTTTAACTTGAAACTAGAACATACGGATTTTCTAAAGCTCTTGATTGAAATGCATTGTTTTTTCAAAGTAAAAACAAACTGTCAGGGTTAAAAAAACTAGTATTAAACTTTACAGCCTACAGCATCCTTGAATTCTCATTTTTATTTCTAGGTTAACACCTAGAAAAAGAATTTAGCGCTAGTTGAAGGCTAAATTTTAAACTGTTGAAGTAGTTGTTTCTAGTTACATACAGCTATTAGATTGGATTGTTGGCATTGTACATCCAGCATTACAAAACCACACAAACTCCCATTTCTTGACCCCTGACTTAAAAAAGGAGTGCTACTGTACCTCATTAGTGGGAGGGCTTTCTGTGGTATTGCAAGAAGCAAAGAGGCATAATTGTGTGTTTTTAAACGTTTTAACCCCGATCTGGTGTTAGTTTCTTCAACACTCAGCTCGGTCCTCCACTGTCCTGGAAAAGAGGTCTAACATGTAACCACTGTAAGGCTGACCACGTCCATGGCTGTGTAGGGCCTTGTACTGACATGCCACTGGAGAGTATACTATTTTACAGATGCTTTTTTTGCATGCAAATTATCCACATATAGTAGGTATTTGTTTCTGCATTAACTGTGCTAATTTCGAAAGATCAAAGCTATGTATTTCAAATGGGAAGTGTGTGAACAATCAAAGATCTGCCAAAAGGTGATCTTTGTTGCTGTGAAGATTGAGAATACTGTGACCCAATAATTTTGTTCTGGTTATAGCATCTCTATTAATATTCTTGATATGAATTGGTAATTAACAACCCCATAAACCCTGATATTCTTGTGTCTAAGTACCCAGCTGAATCCACAGATAGTTGCTCATATATTTGTTTCACTCTGCATCTCTTCCGATTACAGAAGGAAGTTTTTTCCTGAAAGTACTGTTTTTAGTTTACTCTCCCCATGCTGTTTTTTTCTGGAATTGTTTAAAAAGGAAGTTGATTAGCTATTTACATCAGAAATGATGTTCCTTGCTGTAGGCGGCGCTGTGCAACAGAACGGACAGACGACCGCAGAGATCCAGGAGGAGGTCGCGCTGACGAACGTGGGCACCACCTCCTCGGCCAGCAAGAGGCACAGCTCCAGCGACAAGCTGCACTTCCCCCGCGGCAACCTGCAGCCCATCACCACCCTGGGTAACCCAGCGCTCCTGGCGCTGCCGATACATTCCCCAGAGCACTTATTGACCCTGCTGCTCTGCCTTGAACCTTTCAAAATAAAAGAAGCAGCAGAGTCCTTCACAAGCCATGGAAATGTGGTTCCAAGTAGGACGAGTGCTTACAACGCACAGCTGCAATAAGCTACATGTAGGAGCCCAATCTAGACAGCCCGGTGCTCTTCCTGGCAGACGTGCAAGCGGGAGTTTTGGTTTGACAGAGGTTGGCTTTGGACTTCTCCATCTCTCCGAGATGGCAGAGTTGACTGACGCCCAGCGTTGTGGTGTTGTTCGCGTGTCAGGAAAGGGCGAGTTCGGGGAGGTGTTCCTGGCCAAGGCGAAGGGGCTGGAGGAGGAAGAGGCCGAGACCGTGGTCCTGGTGAAGAGCCTGCAGACCCGCGACGAGCAGCTGCAGCTGGACTTCCGCCGCGAGTTCGAGATGTTCGGCAAGCTGAGCCACGCCAACGTGGTGCGCCTGCTGGGGCTGTGCCGGGAGGCCGAGCCGCACTACATGATCCTGGAATACGTGGACCTGGTAAGTCCGGTCTCCTGCTCCGCCTGGGCCCCTTTCCCAGTGGCTTACTGAACACCTTCCATGGATTCACACACGCTTCAGAGGTACATGCTAACAAACAGGTAAAGGCTCATTCCGTGCTGAAAGGTAAAGAAAAGAAACGACGTTTCGGTTGTGGAGCCGCCTTCTTCAGACTTCAGAGTTACAAAACTTCAGCCTTTACCTGTTCCCTTGCAGCCTAAACAATGCTGACATAGCTACGTACATGAACATACTAATGTATCTATACTATTTATTTATCATATTCTGTAAAATATACAGTATAGAGTGTATTACTTTAAGATATAGTTGTTTAATAAGTGCTTGTGCTCCACTTGGACCTTCAGAAGGCTGTGGAGGGGTTTTCTTTTTCATTTCCTTACTGTACATCTCATAACCTGCCCTTCTGCGTGTAAGCAAACAGTTTTTTTTTCTTTTAATCTGAAAGGTGCTTGTTCTCTTTGAGCCAGGTTAATGTGATTCACAGCCACATCTGAAGAGAAAAATCAATCTCCCAGCACTGTTTAACTTACAGCCTTGCTTCATTTTCTTTTAGTTTATTAATCTATTAATGACCCAGATCATAGAGCTTGGAATTAAGTTGATTGTGTTTTTACAGTGGTGTGTGGGAGACTCTGCAGTACAAATGTCTGAACAGTCCTGTATAACCATGGATTGTTGTTTCAGGGGGATCTGAAACAGTTTCTGAAGATTTCCAAGAGTAAAGATGAGAAAATCAAACCACAGCCGATCAGCACTAAGCAGAAAGTGAGTACAGTCAGTCTGCTGTCTGCTGGGTGTCTGAGACGCTGAGTTCACCAACAGCAGGGAGATGTTTCACAGGGTTTTCATGAGACTTGTTAAACCACCTTTAATCCTTCAAATAAGACCGTCGTTTATACTTCTTTGGAAGAAACAAGTTATTTTTTTGTCGCGAATTAATCAGGAGAAGTTGAACTAGTTTTCCAAACAGCCTCATCCATTAACACACTGTATTTCATGCCTATTCTTGCGGAATATATCTTAAATGCTTTGGATTGGTAGCAACACATGGACACAACTTCAATGTGATATTAAACCTTTTTTATATTTCGTTACAATCCAATGTCTTTATGCTGAGTTGACAGAACCCTCCAGCACCTGGTTCTGCTTTTGCACACGCACAAGACAGCTGATGTTCTCATTCGTTCCTGTTCTGCAAGGTGTCAATCTGCGCTCAGGTGGCGCTGGGGATGGAGCACCTGTCTAACCACCGGTTTGTCCACAAAGACCTGGCAGCCCGCAACTGCCTCATCAGTGCCCAGCGGCAGGTCAAAGTGTCAGCGCTCAGCCTCAGCAAGGATGTCTACAACAGGTATGTCCGGCCGCTGTCCCCCTCGCCATGGAGACAGCTGGGTGGGAGGGGCTGGGGTTGTGTGGGAGGTGTCTGAGTTGCTATAGAGGCAGCTGAGTGGGAGGGGCTGGACTGTGTGGGAGGGGCTGGGGCTGTGAGAGGTCTTTCCCAGTCTTGTACCCTGTAGGTCTCGGACTGAGCACTACTTCCATCTGCTTCACATGTAGCTGTTTTTGATTAACCTGTTTTAGTTTGTTGAAATGTTTGGAGGCCTAAACGAGACATGTGGGATTAAATTTTATCTGTAATTCCCAGTTAATATTGGGACTTTTTAATGATTTGGTTTGTGTAGTGATTTAGAATTAGTGAAAAGATTTAAATCTATAGCAACAGTCTATTAGCCAGTCTAACATTGATTTAAGATTTATTCTAGCTTTCAGCTGTAGATTTGTTGCATTCTAGCTGTGTAATTTAGTACCTGCTGCCACCTAGCGGCCATGTGAGCTAATGGCACTTGCCTGTGTGCAGTGGGTGGTCATCAGGTGGTGCGGTCTTTCCTCACATCTCTCTCTCCTGCAGTGAGTACTACCACTTCCGCCAGGCCTGGATCCCGCTGCGCTGGCTGCCAGCAGAGTCCGTGTTTGAAGACGATTTCTCCACCAAGTCGGACGTGTGGTCTTTTGGGGTGCTGATGTGGGAGGTTTTCACACATGGAGAGCTGCCTTATAGCAAGCTCAGTGATGATGAGGTGCTGGCAGGTGAGTGTGAGCCCATTCCCTTTCGCCCAGGCCTCGGCTATAAGACAGCTGGTGCTGCTAGATCGCAAACTGGCATCAGACATATAAATGAAGACTGAGGGCTTTATATTATTATTATTATTATTATTATTATTATTATTATTATTATTATTATTATTATTATTACATTTTGGGCAGTGTGGTGGTGCAGAGGTTAACATTGCTGCTTCAGAGCACTGGGGCCCTGGGTTCAATTCCTGTCGCTCTATCTGCGTGGAGTTTGTATGTTCTTCCCTGTGTTCACATGGGTTTCCGTCTGCTCTGGATGCCTACCAGTCCAAAGACATGCTATTAGGTTAATTGGGTTCTGGGATAATTGGTCCTGGTGTGAGTGTGTGCATGTGCATTTGTCCAGTGATGGACTGGCGTCCCGTCCAGAGTGTACCCTGTCTTGCGCCTGTTTCTTACTGGGATAGTCTCCAGCTCCCCCACGACCCATCAAGGGATAAAGATAATAGATGGGTGAAAAGAAGTCAGAAAGTAGATGGATGGATTTCCATTTCGAATGTGGTGGCCAGTCGATACCGGAGGTCTCTGTGTTCCCTCTCCTCATGCTTCTCGCTGGCGCTCGCAGGTCTGCAGAGTGGGAAGATGAAGCTGCCGGCGCCAGAGGGCTGCCCCTCCAAAGCCTACAAGTTGATGGTGCGCTGCTGGGCCCCCAGCCTCAAGGACCGCCCCTCCTTCAGCGAGATCTCCAACGCGCTGGCCGAGCTCCCCGCGGACAGCAAGGTCTGAGAGCGGCCCGCCCTGTCCCCCGCGGCGCGCGGAAGACACAGACTCCTGGCTGGAGACCCCAGGGGCTTCAGAGTCCTGCGCGATATTTCAGATTTATTTGTAAAAAAAAAAAAGACTTATTTAGATTGAGTTAAGAGAGGAGGGGGACGGTTGCCTTAATCTCAGCGACTCTGTTGAGCCCTGTGCCTGAAAGGCCTTTTTAAATCCGTGTGCATCGGGGGTCCATTCCCACAGCACAAGAGACTCCTGCCCCTCGATGCACACGCCTCCGAGAGCTACCTCTGCAAACCACGCCACGGGCTCCCCCACACCTCCGCTTCGCACCGCAAGCAGGCCAAGGAGCAGCGCCCACACTTGGAGAGAGCGTGGAGCTGTACCGTCACCCAGGAGTAGACTTGTCTGGACTGACTTCTGTAGTTTACAACACGACGAGAGGCGAGTGCAGGAGAGCAAGGACGAGGACGCTCGCGATGGGGCTGCTGTCTGTTACAGGAGTCTGGTCCTCTTCTTCTCCAAGTGAAGACAGAAAGGGAAACCAGACCAGAGATGAATATGGAAAACTGGCAAGGGCTGGGGGCAGAGGTGTGCGTGTAGGGTGGGGGTATTTTGTGTTGATAATCCTGCAGTGTTCTAATAGGGATCCTTCCTTCTAAATGGGATGTTTTATGTGAACCTACCCCAGCCACCCCCCGCCTCCTCCAGTGTCATTTCATTTGCGAACACTGCTCTGTATTCACCATTTATCTGCACCGCGGCTGTCTGCAGCTTGCCGCCTCGTTCTCTCGTCTCGTCTTCGCCAGAGGACCAGCCCGCCTGTACAGACACACATCCTGTACATAGTGTAGAAACCGTGCGCTAACCACACTAAAGTGTTTCGCTTTTGTATTCTAGAAGGATATGCGGGAACCTGTTTATTTATTCCTAAGGTTCTTTTTTTATCTTTTTTTTCACAGCGGTACTTTTTAAATTTTTTTTATACGGTTGTGTATGTATTAGGCATTTTAATAATACATATCAGTGTACAAACTATATCTTAAGATATTATCCAGTTTTTAAAAGACAGTGGAGGGAGGATGATGTGTCTGTAGCTCATACATGTCATTACATAAGACTTAAAAAGTGCCTGATATATGAAGGATTTTTGGCAGATTTTTCAGTATCTTATAAAATGCAAAGGTCTCCTTTTGTAACGTTTTGGATTTTTTTATATGTTAAGGTTTTTGTTTGGTTTTCTGTTATAATGTGCAAAATATTGACATACGTAGCAGTTATTTTATCTCAATGCTAGGCCCTTACACCTAGTTCTCCTTTAATCTGCTTGTGCAAATGATTCCAGTAGCCATGATTTATACTTGCTGCTCTCAATAAAGAATCACTTTTTTAACTGTTGCATTGTGTATTATGGCTGAATGGTAGGGTTTTTGCTTCTCCTTGTAAAGGTGGAAATGTGTGGTATGGCAGATTTTTTTTCAACCACTAGATGGCTCTCCACCACCAGCCCAATCTGTTTATGACGTCCATTATTGAAGGGAAGATCATAAGTGCCACAAAACAATATCAGTTCAAGTTAAACTACTTGGATCATTTTATCGTTAATGTTTCACATAGGCTTAGCTAAGTACAAGAGGGTACATTAATCACAAAACTAGTTACAGCTTCATCTGAAGTTATGAAGTTGAACAGGAAAATCTATCCTGTTCCTGCAGACAGATCTCAGTAAGCATTTATCCCAGGAATTGGCAAAAAACACTAAACCTTCCAGCCAATTCACATTATGGATCTTTGAGAACCAGCCCTTTGTTAAACAAATGGTAAACAGAGGTATATACAGAAAAGGGGGCTTCCATCCTAACCAGTTTTTTTGTAGTTTCAAAGGCCATGTTACCAGCTCACTGCTGCTGCCTGTGGAATCTGGTTGCAGTTCCATCAAGGGTAGGCTTGATAGACTGGTTCTCCAGGGCTTTCTGAACTAAAGGTTATACTCCATTACACACCTCCTGGATTTGTGTTTGAGCATGGAGACGTGTTGAATAAGGATTTCAGCTACCAACCCAAAATGATTTATTTTCGTGTTTTTAGTTTTGCAAATTCCCTCTTCTGTTGCTGGATGGCTGAATGTGTTCACTTCTATTTACAAACTGGGGAAGAAAGCATATCCATATGTACATTGTGGATACCAGCCTTTATTTGTCTCAGTGAATGAAATCTGGTAAGCAAAGGCCATAGTTCCTGCCAATTATGTTTTGCTATTCAGTGTTGTGCAGAAAAACCTGCTAAAAGTTAGAAAGGTGGAGAAACATCTGAATATTCTGTTTTTGTGTAACCAGAGAGTTAACTTTTAAGAGGTCGCACTATGGATTCTGTTTATCGCCATGTCTTGGACCAGAAAGAGCTATTGTCAGCCTGCAAGAGACCTGAATACCCTGTACACTTTTTCCTTAGCCTCTACAGAGAAGATTAGAAGAGGACATTACCTGTTCTCATGCTCATCCTGCCTGCCTCCTTCCTCTTCCTGTGGAAGTCTCTTCCCCCAGTGCTAACCATTTGCACATGAATTATTGGAATGGGTCAATATTGTCAATTCTATTAGACCACATATCACTAAGCAGGAGGGAAGGGGGAGCTGTTAGTTTTGTGGTCTGTACACCCCATATTTGTCAATACAGAACACTTACCGCCCTTGATAAGGTTCCATTGTACTGTGCTTTCAAAAAATGAAAGGGAAAATTTAACTTTAGTGCAATAGAGACACACACTCAGTATATATTAGTCAGTCCTGGGTTTTTGAGTATTCACCAAACACCTCCACAATATCAATAAGATGAAAATGCAACTGTTTTTTTAGAATATCTTCCAAAAGTGTTCCTGCCCTTAATAAAGTGTGACTAGAAGTTAATCTATCAAAAATTCTAACTAATGTTTGACATTTCTGAAATAAAATAATTTATTACTTGATATATCAATGGCTTATTTTAGAATGACAACTTCCTAAAATGCATCATAGTCAAACATATTCAGTCTGTAGATTTTAAAACTAAACGGTACAAATGTAATCCTCTGTTTGTGGTCATCTAGCAGTTGCACAAGGCCTCAGAAAGTTTTCTCCCTTTCTCCCTATCTGTAGATGGCTCTGTACTTGAGCTTCAATCAAAATTGAAAAACGTTGGGGTTATATTCGATTCTGGCTTAACATTTGACCCACATGTGCAGCATGCTGTCAAAACATCTTTTTTTCACCTTCGTAATATCGCTAGACTACGCCCTATGCTATCATTAACTGTGGCTGAAAAGCTGATCAACACATTCTCTCAAATTGACAACTCTAATGCTCTACTCGCTGGGGTATCTAAATCTGCTCTGAACAAACTGCAGTATGTGCAAAATTCAGCAGCCAGAATCCTGACCAGGTCTAGTGCAAGTGTTCCCATTACTCCTATCCTGGAGTCCTTGCACTGGCTTCCGGTCAAATTCCGTGTAGACTTTAAAATCCTCATGCTCACCTATAAGGCTCTGCATGGCTTGGCACCTCAGTACCCGTCTGAACTATTATCGCCCTACTCCCCACCTCACAACCTTCGTCCTTCTAATTCTGCTCTCCTTACTGTCCCTCAAGCCCATCTGCATTGTATGGGTGTCAGGGCCTTCTCCTGTTATGCCCCCAAGCTCTGGAACTCTCTGCCCACGGATATCAGAGAGTCACCTCTTCTAAACTCCTTCAAATCCAGACTCAAAACCCTCTTCTTCAGAAAAGCCTTTACTTAACTGGTTCCATTCTTCACCCCTCTGCTCTTAGTACCACCATCCACGGTCTCCTCTATATACTGGAATTGTGTTTTATCTTGTCTATTCTTCTTATTTATTCTTGTTCTCATTCTGTAAAGCGCTTTGAGAAGCCACCTTTAAAGGCGCTATATAAAATAAAAGTTTATTATCATTATTATTATAACTCCACTGAGCCTGGTCTCTGCTGGCACAGGGGATCTCCCATGACAGTTAGGTCGCACCTGTAAGAGGTGTTAATCCTGTAGGTGGCGCTCTTCCTTCTTGACAGTCATTTGCAGACCAGTGCCCTGTTATTGTAACCAGGAACACCATGCTGTAGGAGGTCCTGAAAACTTGGCCATGTAACAGCTGCATCACCCTTTTCGTAAGAGAAGGGGTTTCAACCCCGGTGAACCTACTACATTTCGTTCTGGGCATGGGCAGTCTGCGCTATCTAAAGCTTCGCCCCGACCCGCTGAAGCAATTTCTCCTTTCTCCAGGCAACCTGCCGTCTAGCGGGGCTGCTCTGCCTCGCTTCAGGCTCCTGTACGCAAAGCCCTGTGAGATCCTTGGAGATCAAAGTTGCCGTGTAAATGCAAGGAGGAACCGGAAAAGGTGGGTGAATTCAGAATCAATACAGCTCCGAATTAAGAAGCACATTCTTCTCTAGAAGGAGAGCTGGCTGAAAATAGAAGCAGAAAGACGAGCCTCAGCAGCTCTGTAGCCAGATGTAGGAAGATGGATTCGAAACCCCAGTATCGACAGGTGTGCATTGAAGGCTCATGGCATGGTAGCTACCCCTCGAGGAAGAGGATGTGAGACCTACAGGTGCAGCCAGGCAAGTGGCTTGGGAGCCTCACTCCCACCCAGGACCAACTTTTCAAAAAGCAAACGGGTGCCTTCAGGACAGCGCCACTCGCCCGCGAGTTCACGAGCCTGGTGCCGGCGCCAGAGCTCCAGGCCCACGCGAGGAAAAGACGCGGATTTTCCAGATAACTGTCCGACAAACGTGGACCGAATGGTGGAGAAGGATCTCGGGAGCAGCATCCCGGGCACGGGCACCTGAAACCAGTGGAGATCGCATGCCCCCCCTTCTCTGAAGAAAAGAAAGGGATCTGTTTTGTCTGGGGTTGTAGCGCCCCCTGGGCCTGGTGTTTTATTGAGAGCCGAGGGGCCCAGAAGTGGTGCGGTCAATCTGGAAGCTCAAGTTTTCCCACACAACACTCAAACAAATTAGGAGAAACTAAAAATCAGTGTCCTTAATTGGTTAGCACAGTTTCTAGTACAGGGGGTCTCAAACTCAATTAGGAGGCTCTAGTTTCTCCTGGTGCTTGTTCCACCCACCTGCTCGGTTACACAGCTGGTCTAATAATTTAATTAGCTGCCTAACTAACACATCTATCCCAGGCTCAGAGGGGATTTGTCAGTAACTGTACCTGTAATGAAGGAAAGTCTTGTTTAATCAACTGTTAAAGGCCTTGAGATAGATCCTTCATGTGCCTCATTTAGTTAATAACGAGGTTAATGGCTTAATTGAGTAAGCGAGGCTGTCCTGGTGCCTGCTGGTCTTTGTGTGGGGCTCTCGTCTGGTGGGATGTGTGCTGGGAGCTGCTGGAGGAGTGGTCAGACACCCCTCAGGAGAGGCTGGAGAGCCTATTAAACAGCAGCAGGAAGGGCCTCATTGAGGTAATCAAAACCAAATGGGGGTTCTGGTAACATAGCATCACTTTATTAGCCCTATACAATTTCTTGCATTAGGAATTCATCTTTTCACATACCCCAGCTTGCTCTCCATGAGACACAGACAGGGAGAGAGAAGCCTGGGGTCAGAGCTCTGGGTCAGCCATTGTAAAACATCCCTGGAGCAGTTGGGGGTTAAGGGCCTTGCGCAGGGGCCCAATGGAGTAGGATTCCTCTGCCAGCTGTGGGATTTGAACCTTCCAGCCAAAGGCACAGATCCTTAGCAACAGAGCCACCACTCCGCCCAAGATTAAGTTAAGATACGGGTTAATATAAATGTGAACGTCGTTCATTTAGAAATATATGAGCTGTTTTTGGGATGTTCTCTTTATGTATACAGTATTCAAAGTCTTGCAAGTTTTTAATTCATTTCTAATGCACAATACTGAACAGACACCTGTTTTTTTTTTAACTCAAATCATCTTCTAGTGGTATTTCGTCAGGGATGTAGGACACTGTATTTGTGTTATGCTGGGTGGAATACGAGTTGTCAGGGATAAGGTGTGACTTGAATTGAAGAAAGCTAGGGCCTGCGACGCTACTCTTCATGACCCGGAAGATATTGGATTTTAAAGACCCATTAGTCTCTTCTACAAGGTGAAAGCCCAGTGCTACAGAGGCAGCATTCTGACAGTTGGAACCCTTGCTCATTCTCGCACGTCAAAGGGTCTAGAATATTAAACGACATATTAGCTTGTATTAGGAGCTGTTAGTGTCGAATGTAATGTGCAATGCAGTATTTACTACCTGTAAGTGAAAAACTGTGTGCTATCACCATGCTAAGAGTACATTAATGACAATACCTCAATTGTTACTGAACATTGCAACGTTCAGTGGATTAATAACTAGTATTTGTTGAACTGGGATGTTATGTTTTCCGTTATGGG